TGGTGGACAGCACAGCCTCCACTTCCGGACACTCGCCCTGGCTGGCCCCGGCCTGGGCCCCTCTGGAACAGGTAGCTCCTTGACCCACCCAGCAGCCTCCCACATCACAGGCAGTAACAGAAACTGAAATTATCTGACCCTCAGTCAGACTTCCGAGAATGCAGCTCCCTCCTCAGGGCTCCCTGACTGGGGTTTCCAGCCCAGGGAGGCCACCCTGTCTGATGGAGGAGGGGGCAAGGGGCAGGAAAGCTGGAGGAGGAAGTATTCACAAAGCAGACACTGGGTGTGAGTGGAGGAGATGACTCCACATCTGTCTCCTGTTTTCAGCTCACCAGAGTAAACACTTATCGAGCATTTACTGTATGCCTGACTGTTCCAAGAGCCACATTATTTCATCGATTTCTCTCAAGAATCCTGTGAAGCAGATACTATTATTTCCATTTTAAAGATGATGAAACTGAGGCTCAGAGAGGTTAAACAACTTGCCCAGGGTCACACAGCTAGTAAGTGGCAAACCCAAGCAGTCTGACTGCTCAGCCCCTGTTCTTCACCTCTCTACACTCTAATGCCTCTTCCCAAAGGAAAGTAAGTCCTTCCTTAAGTCTAACTTTCATTTCAGCTGCTGCAGGTCCATTTCCTGGTGCAGGTCCTCCTTGGTAAAGAATGGAGCACAGATGAGATCAGTAAAATCTTGCTCTGAAATAATGAGCTATGCAGACGGGGAAAAAAGAAAGGAATTTTATTGAACACCTACTGCATGCTGGTTACGAGCTAGGCTCTGTTAACTTCCGCAGCTCGTTTAATCCTCACAAAATCCCTGGAAGGGGTTATTACCCCTGTGGCAGATAAGGAAACGGAGGCTTGGGGAGGGTAAACAACTTCTCCAAGATTCTGTAGTCCAGTAGATACGCACTGAGAATCTTCTGTGGGCCCTGTGCTGAGGCTCGAGGCAGAGAAGCGAACATGGTTTCTGCCATCAAGGAGTTCAAAGTCTAAGGGAGGAGGCAGCCAGCCAGCAGCCCACTGCAGTACTACAGGAGGAGGGCGGGCACCCAACTCAGCCTGAAAAGACGCTCAGCGCAGGCTGGATGCCTGAGCTGGGACAGAGGCAGGACTCGGCCAGCCGGAGGTGACAGGGGATCAGCAAGAGCAGGCACACGGAGGTGTTCCAGAGCCTGGGGCAGGCAGGGAGAGACGAGCAAATTCAGCACGACTAGAGCACGAAGTGGTGCGTCTGGGGAAACGGAGGCAGAAAAGGCAGGAGAGGGAGGCGGGGCCAGATCATGGGGTATCTTGATTGTCTGGTTAAGGAGTTAGGAGGCAAGGAAGAGCCTCTGAAGAAAGGGGCCCAGCGTGGTCAGCCTCTTGGGTAGGAAAGCTCGCTCTGCCCAGCACTGACAGAGGGAAAGAGTCAGAGCAGGGAGCCCAGCAGGGAGGCTGTGAGCGTCCAGGTGAGGGCTGGGGAGACCCGAGCACTGCAGGGAGAAAAGACAAGTTGTTGACAAGACTGAGAGCTCCATAAAGGAAGGAACTCAGGCTGCTTCTGCTCACCATTGTACCCCGAACCTGCTCGAGGAACGTGTTTTCTGAGTGATGAAGACCCATTCACCTTCATTATGAACTGACTGGCTGTGGGAGTGTGGAGAAGGGGGTGTGAGGAATGACTCCTGGGTCCCTGGGTTGGGTGACTGGAAGAGGGGAGACGGTGCTATAATTTACCAGGATGAGGCACTCAGGATTGAGGACAGGTTTGGTGAAGTGGGGGGAAGATTCATCCATCCAATCATTCATTCAACAAATATGTACTGAGGGTGGGAGGTGGGGGGCGGGGACAGCCAACGTCAGATGGTGAAAAGGTTAATGGGGGAAAAGAGAGATAGAGATGGGAGGGTTGCAATTTTTTAAAAGGGTGGTCAGGGCCGGCCCTGTGGCTTGGTGGTTAAGTGCACGCGCTGCGATGCTGGCGGCCCGGGTTCGGATCCCGGGTGCGCATCGAGGCACCACTTCTCTGTCCATCCTGAGGCCGAGTCCCACATACAGCAACTAGAAGGGTGTGCAGCTATGGCATACAACTATCTACTGGGGTTTTGGGGGCAAAAAATAAAATAAATAAAATCTTTAAAAGGGTGGTCAGAGAAGGTCTCAATGAGAAGGTGACATTTGAGCAAAGACTTGAAGAAGGGGAGGGAGTTATTTGAGGGGAAAGAATCCAGGCAGAAGAAACAGCAAGTGCAAAGGCCCTGAGGTAGGAGGGAGCCTAACAAGTTCAAGGAAGACAGAGTGACTGGAGCAGAGCAGCAAGGGAGAGAATATCAGAGAGGGGTCAGGGAGGGAACAGGGGCCCTGGGTTGAGGAGGGCCTGGTAGATCAATGAAAGACTTTAACTTTGACTCTGAGTGAGATGAGAGCCAATGGGGGTCGGGGGCAGAGGATGACATGAACTGACTTCTATTTGATCAGTTTCATGCTGGCTGCTGAAGGAAAAACAGATGGGGAGATGAGGATGAACTGACGTAGGAGACCGGGGAGGGGCTATTGCAATGATCTAATAAGACATAAGGGTGGTTTAGAGCTGGCTGGTGTGGGTTTAAGTGATATTTATATTTTCTAACTTTTTATCATGGAAATACTTAAATATAGAGCCAAGTTGAAATTTACAACGAATACCTGTCTACCCAGGATTCTGGTTATATTTTGAAAGAACAATCATTGGGATTTGCTGAGCACATGGGGCCTATGGGACATCTTGGGGAGGTTGCCATAGACAGCTGGGTATTTCAATCTGGAACCAGAACTGTGGCCCAGGTCTGCCCCATCACACCAGACTCAGAAGCCCACTTTTTCTAAAAAGGATCATATGTTACGGACACTCTGCTAGTTGGTTGGTAACTAGCCTTTATTGGGTCATAAATCTAATAAACTATGAACCACCTGAACCCTTTTCAGAAAAATGCACAAAAAATTATAAACAATTGCAGGGGAATCATGGATCCAGACAATGAAAGACATAAAATGTAGTCTATTTCACTCAATTAAAAAACATTCAATTTAGCAGAATCATTGTGAGTAAATGTTACTAATTTCTAGTGAGCATGTGAAGACCCTGAGCCTCACAGGTCATCGCCCTGTCTTGTCCCCAGAATCCCCATTTCTCTAACTGCCTGGCCTATGGGCAGTGGTGGAGAACAGGTAGTGAGTGGGGGAGCCGTGCGGAAGGTACTGTTACAAAATTCCCTGTAACATGAGGCTGCCCCCCTGAGTATTGGGAGGATCAGGGCCCCAAGGCTAGTGCCAAAAAGAGGCTTAGGGCTGAGAGACCCTTCGAGCCAGGGTCTGTCTCTAAGTGATGCTCCCCGCGGGGGAGCATAGGAATGGCACTCAGCCGGGTTGGAGCCTGAGCCCTGGACAGCCTCGAAGCTTTGAGGTCAGGAAATCCGGAGGCAGAGGAGGAGGACATCGTTGCCACATCCCCTAGCCCCTCTGAGACCCCTGAGGCAGGAAGGCTGCCCGGGCCTCACCAGCTTCCCTCCCAGGCTCCTTCCTGGGAGGAAGGGGCTGCCCATGCGCGGGGACCGTGCAAGGGAGGGAAGGAGGCTGGGCAGGTGTTGCAATCCACAGGCCCTGAGCCTGTCAGAGGCCGAGCCATTAACGACAGGGCTGGGGAGAGAGGCCGGACTGCAGCTGTTTTCAGGAACTTGCCTTGAAGAGGACAGCAGATAACAGGGAGGCCAGGCGGGTGCCGGACCACAAGCCCCAACGTGAGTAGGGGAGCCACAGGGAGGGCTGAGCCTCGGGCTTGATGCGGCCTTGGAGTCCCAGGTCCACTCCCCCCAGCTCTGCCAAGTGCTCATTCACAAGGGGCCTAGGCCTGGGACCAGGGTTCCTGCCTTCCCTTGGGACCAGGAGCCCTGGACACTGAGTCTCTTTTCCCAAGGATGCCCCCACTTTCTCGGGGGTTTGCATCAGGGAAGTCACAAACAGCCTATATCTGTCTGGGGGCACCGAGGGGGGCTCAGGGAGGGCATAATCGTCATCCCTCTCTGCATCTCTAACCTGTGTGTTTCAACCTCTCCCTCTCTTGATCTCTGTTTACTCTCCGTCTCTCGCTGGCTTTCCCTGGCTCTGAGTTTCTCTCAATCTGTCTCAGAGTCTGTCTGTGCCTTTCTCTTTGTCTCTCACATTTCCCTCTGTCTCTTGAATCTCTTGGGTATCTCTGGCTTGCGGCCTCCGTCTCTCGGTGTCAGCATCCTTGTCTCTTAGGCTCTTTTCTCTGTCTGTCTCTCGACGTCTCTCCTGCCTCCCTCTTTATCTCCGTGTGTCTCTCTCCATTGTTTCAGTCTGTGTGCGTATCTCCCTTTCTTACTCTTTCTGCCTCTCTCTCTTTCTCGGAACCACATGTGGGAAGGGCTCTCCCTCTGTTCATTTCCAGCCCCCTCCTTCCTCTGACCCTCTTTCCATAGAAGGAATCTCCACGTGATTAAGGGTGGAAAGAAAAACGGGGAGAGGGGTGTGAACTGGGAGAAGTGAGAGGGAGGGGAAAAGGTTGAGAGCGAGGGGAGGGAAAAGAGAGGAAATCAGAAAGAGGGTGATGGCAGCGACTCCAGGGGACAGTGCGGTGTGCTGGGTCAGAGTCAGGAGAGCCGAGCAGAGACAGCTGCAGCGAACGGGAGACTGGGGGGCCAAGGAGCTAGAAGCAGGGGACCCAGAAATGGGGCTTTGAAACCGTACGGCATGACTCAGACAAAAGCTAGGTGGCCGTTCTAGGAGGCTGTGACCACACAGCCTGCAAGGGGGGAGGGGGCACTAAACCACGCTGGATTCCAGGAGGTGGTGTCCTGCTCTATGGCATGGGAAAGTGACATGGTTATTGAGTGCTTCCTCCATGCAGGCTCCGTGCTCAGTGCTTTTATCACGGATCTCATTTCATCCTCACCACAACCCAAGAGGTGGGTGCTATTGTTATTCCTTCCACAGATGGGGAAACTGAGGCTCAGAAAGGTGATGTAATTTGTCCAAGGTCACACAGCTGGTAAGTGGCAGAGCCGGGGTTCAGATCAGGTGGTCTCAGAGCGGGGCTCCCAGCCTCTCCACAGAGGCCCCCAGAGAGTGAGACCCTGCCCCCACAGGCCCCAGATCCCACTCAACTAGGGAAGGGGGCACCCGGGGCTGCCGTGGGGGACCCGGGACTGATGCCAAACACGCCAACACCCAGCAACCCAGGGGGAGGGGGCCTGGGCCTCTTGGGTTTTAGGGTTTGGTTGCCCACTCTAGACAGGAACCAGTGGAGAGGGATGAAGTGGTACCTCACTGGATATAAGCTAGGCCTGAATTTGACCCTTGCTAGGGCAGCAGGGCTGGCGTATGATCAAAAACACATGGAGATAGAAACCAGTGTCCCAAAATCTGGGCCTAGGAGGCTAAATCTTCCCCAACAAGTGTGCGTGGGGGATAGTCAAACTGGTATGCTGTAGTAAGAAGGTTGCCAACCACTGATCGGTAGACTGGGGTGCTCTGAACAGTTGTGCAGGCTTCTCACTGCACAAAGCTGCCCTGCAGAGGGGCAAGTGGAGGCTGAAATCCAGCCTGTTCTCCAGTTGCCAGGTCCTAGCGTGGGGCTGTATCCGTCCAGAAGAAGGGGTGCTTCTTTCTGATTTGCAAAAAGTGGATTTATGGGCTAGCAGTCACCTGGTGTCCTGATACTGTAATATATATGGATAGACCAGGGGTTTGGGGAAGGGCCCTGCAAGCAGGAACAGCCGTGGGTCTCTGGGTAGTCCTTATTCACACCTCTGTCTGGGAGGGGAAAAAAAAGAGAGAGAAGCGTTCTCCCTCCTGAGCACAGGGGATCTGCTGGGACACCACCCACATGGATGTGTTCATGTACATACATGCAGGCTGGTCAGCAATTCCCACTGACCTGCCACCAAGAGTGCCACTCAGTGCTGGACGATCAGATGTCTGGCCCAAGACCCCAACGAGAACAGAGTGGAGGGTTAGGCTAGAAGTCTGCCCTGGCAGCAGAAACATTTGCATACCTCTTGAGACTGGAACTGATCATCCCCCATCCAGGCAATGTTGCCCTGGCCACAGGACGCCTGCCCCAGAAGGCTTCCAGAGGTCTGTGCCCAGAACTGGGGCTGTATTGGATCCCCTGTGTGCCCCACCTGATATCTCTCAGCCCACCGTTCCCTCCAGCCATGGCCGCAGCAGCCAGCTTCCCACAGGTGTAACCAGACAGCCCCTTCCCTCAGCTGCTCCTGGGAGTTCTCCCTTCCTGCCAGGGAGCAGTTCTGACCCTTTGGCCTAGCTCACCCAGGAGAACCTGCCTCATGCTCATGCACGTGCAACCTGGATGTGCTAGGAAGTTAATACCCAAAGGGATATTCCTTGACCAATGGGGGACAGGAGTCGGTGGATAAATGTTCCCTTCCAGCCAAGGACAAACTGCCCCCTGGACAGTTCTGAGGCATGTTCTACACAGCTCCTTAGAAGGTTCCAGCAGGATCGAGCTCCAGCTGTCTATAAAGGTGACCAGCTCAATGACGCACCCTTGTGTTGGCTTTCCCTCCTTACCTGTTTCATTCTCCCCACTCCCTCCCTCTGTTCCCTGGATCTTACCAAAATAAACTCCCTGCATGCAAGCTCTCATCTCAGGCTCTGCTTTCTGGGGGGAACCTGGCTAAGACAGAAAGGAAACAGGAAGAATGCTGTTCCCTGCTACTCCCTTCCTTGCTCTCTCCTGGAAGGCAAGTGTAATACTAACAGGGGCCATCACTTACAGAGTCACTTCCTAGGTGCCAGGCACCGTGTGAAGCCCTTGACTTGCATCATTTCATGTCTTCCTCCCAAAGCCCCATGCAGTATAGGCTGTTGTTACCTCCACTTTACAGACAAAGAAACTGAAGCTCAGAAAAATCAAGTAACTTGGCCAAAGCCGCACTGTGGCAGAGTGAAGATTAAGCTCAGCTCTTCTCCAAAGCCCATGACCTTAACCATCCCCCTCTGCCTCCAGGTGAGCCCCAAGTTGGCACGATGGCGGGGCTGGGAACCCAGAACCTGATCAGAGCTGCCCTGATCATCCTGCTGCTCCCCGGAAGTGAGTGTGGCTGGGGGTGGAGGTGCTGTGGGGAGAGGAGAGTTACAGGGAGAGATATGGGGGTGGAGGAGGGAATCATTTCCCTGCACTGCCACACTGCTCCTGGGGTTCCCAGAGAATCCAAAGGACTGGACGTGGGGTAGCCGGGCTCCCACCCCAGCCCTCTGTAGGAAACCACCACCTGTGAGGAATGGTGAGACTACTCAGGATGGTCAGCCTGGAAAAGACCAGGAGGACCCAGGTCTTATCTCCAATCTCTGCTGGGCTGTCAGAAGGAACCTCTGAGGGCCGGCCCCGTGGCTTAGTGGTTAAGTGCGTGCGCTCCGCTGCTGGCGGCCGGGGTTCGGATCCCGGGCGCGCGCCGACGCACCGCTTCTCCGGCCATGCTGAGGCCGCATCCCACATACAGCAACTAGAAGCATGCGCAACTATGACATACAACCATCTGCTGGGGCTTTGGGGGAAAAAAGGAGGAGGACTGGCAATAGATGTTAGCTCAGAGCCGGTCTTCCTCAGCAAAAAAGAGGAGGATTAGCACAGATGTTATCTCAGGGCTGATCTTCCTCACAAAAAAAAAAAAAAAGGAAGGAACCTCTGAGTCCTATGCATCCTTCACGGGCAGCAAAGGGATCAGGGCAGAAGCCATAAGGAGGCAGGTTTCACCCTGAAATAAGGAAGCTCAGGCAGAGCTCTCCAACTATGGAAACTCTATCTTGAGAGGTAGAGAGCCTCCCGTCTCTGGGAGCACGCAAGCTGAGGCCAGGATTGACAGGGATGCTGCACAGCAGGGGTCGGCAAACTTTGATAGTTATACTCAGGCTTTGCAGGCCACTACAGTCTCTGTTGCGTGTTCTTGTTTTTTTGTTTTCTTTGTTTTTGACTCTTTAAAAATGTAAAAACCATTTTTTGCTGGCAGGCCATACCAAAGCAGGCAACCCTAGCCCTGCTGTAGAGGACGCAGCATCAGGTGGAGTTTTGAAGTAAAGAGTTTTGCAAGGTTCCTTCCAGTCTGAAGTTCTGAGTCTGTGAAGTGATAGGAGCCCCATGTTGAGAGTCATGAACTTGGTCTGCGACCCTGAGCCAATCGCTCTTCCTCTTGGAGCCTCAGCATCCCCATCAGCAAAATGGGCCTAAGAACAGCTGAGAGAGGAGAGAAGGCTTTGTGGGAAAAGCGTAGTGTTTGTTCACTTATTCAGTAAAAATTCACCAGGGCCGACTCTGTGCTAGGCACTGGAAATACAGGAATGAGCAAAACAGCCAAGGTCTCTGGCCTCACGGAACCTACGGTCCAGCTGGGGAGACAGACAAGCAAATAATCACATGACTCTATAATTATGAAAGATAGTGAGAGCTTTGGGAAAGTTCAGGAGGCTTGGCCTGGTCTGGTTGGTCAGTTAGCCAGGTGAAAGAGGGATGGGAGAGGGAAGAAGAACACCTCCAAAAAGAACAGCAGGTAAAAGATCCCGAGATTGGAGACAGCATGGCGCTTTCAAGGAATAGCGAGAGGGCCAGAGTGACTGGGGCTGAGAGAGGATGATCTGAGCCAGAACTGGGAGGGTTAAGCAGGGGCCAGGCCACAAGGGCGGTGAGAAGGATCTGGGTCTATCCTAACCACGGCGGCAAAGACTTTCATGCCAGGCTCTGTTCTGAGTGCCTTGCACATGTTAGCACATTGAATCCTCCCAGCACCACTAAGGTAGGGACTATTTTTATCTCCATTTTATAGAGGAGAACACTGAGGCACAGAAGGTCTCAGTAACACACCAGGGTCACATAATTAATTAGCAATAAACCAGGCTCTGAACCAAGGCTAGTTCCAACGTCCACGCTCTTATGTGTCACACCGCACTGCCTTTCAGAGCAATAACGTGCCACCAAAGTTCTGTGATCAAGATGGGGTAACACGACCAGATTTGAATTCCAAAAAGACTGCTGTGGCTGCGGGTTCTTATCATTCTAATCATTGCTTTCACCATCCGTGGGGAGGACGCTGGGGAGGGAAGCGCCCACATAGTCTCTATCTGGTGCTATGCTGGAGCTGGCTTACAAGAGCTGATTGTGCTCATCTCTTCCCAAGTTCACATTCAGTGATGTCACACTGGTAGGTTGAAATCAGCCATGGTGGGAATATTTACACCAGGGAAAGTAGCTCAAACTACAAATCAGGATCTGGTTTTCTCTGTATAGCCATTGATACACATTTACCCGCACATCGCTATCTCTAGCTCACCCCTGCGAGCCTCTCACAGTCCCCATACATACCTCCCAATTCTAGCCCCCATGTCCTGAGGGCTGGAGCAAGAAAGTGAGAGCCCTGAGTCTAGGAGTACAAAGGCCTAGCTTAAAGCCCAGCTCTGCCAGGCGCGGAGTCACTCATGGCCCATTCTCTCCCACTGCAGGCCTGGAAGAGTGCGGCCGCATCAAGGTCTCAGCCCCTGTCGTCCGCCTGGGGGATCCCATCACGGCCTCCTGCATCATCAACCAGAGCTGCAGCCACCTGGGCCCAGAGGCACAGATTCTGTGGAAACTGGGAGCAGAGCTTCAACCCGGAGGGAGGCAGCAGCGTCTGGCAGATGGGACCCAGGAGTCTACCATCACCTTGCCCCACCTCAATCACTCTTGGGCCCTTCTCTCCTGCTGCCTGCGCTGGGGCAACAGCCTGCAGATCCTGGACCAGGCAGAGCTGCAGGCAGGCTGTAAGTCCCTGCAGCCGTCCACCCACTCCGCCTCCAGTGCCCTCCTGCCAATACAGATAAGAGCTATTATTTGTGAGCACTTGCTCAATAAGCACTTTATGGGTATGAGATCAGGTCATCTTCCCTACCAGTGGGTAGTGCTATTTAGCCCCATTTTGCAGATGAGGAAACTGAGGCTCAGAGAGGGTAAGTGATTTGCTGAAGGCCACAAACTAATAAGGGTAGAGCCAAGATTTGTATCGGGCAGTGTGGCTCCAAAGCCAGCACAGTAACCACCACTCTGGCTGGCTGCCAAGGAAGCCCAACTCCCTGGCCACAGAAGGGTGTGTCCATGGAGGGCATTCCCTGCCAGTTTGGCTTGCTCCCAGTTCCTCCTCCAGCCCAGTCTCAGCCTTCTGCTCAAACTGAGAAGGACGGAGTTTGTGCCAAGCCAATGCAGAAGAAAAAACAAGGACCAAGGTTCTTGTTTAAGAATCAATAATAGTACGGGTAACACTTACATATCCGTTACCATGTGCCAGGCACTGCTCTCAGCGCTTTATATACAGTAAGGCATTCAGCTCTCACAATAACCCCAGGGAGGTAGGTATATTACCATCACCTCCATTTTACAGATGAGGAAACTGAGGCACAGAGCAGTCAAGTGACTTGAAGATCACACAGTTAATCACTGGCAGAACCAGGAGGAAAACCCAGACACTACACTGTCACTGTCAAAGGGGCGGAGTTGAGGGGGTTGGAGGCCCTGGATGCTCGTCCCTGTACATGCCTGTAATGTGACTTCCCCCAGGGCTGCCCCTCCAGGTCACCCTGCATGGAAACAGGGGACTATATAAGGTAGCCCCAGAGGGAATGACCCAGAGGAAGGAAACAAAGCCAATTGGTCCCAGTGGGCACTTTCTGAGTGGGCCTACCCAAAGCCCTCACTCTCCCCCCTCTATGTGCAGACCCTCCCGCCACACCCCACAATCTGTCCTGCCTCATGAACCTCACAACCAACAGCCTCATCTGCCAGTGGGAGCCAGGACCCGACACCCACCTGTCCACCAACTTCACCTTAAAGAGTTTCAAGTGAGTAGAGGTCTCTACTCCAGCCCCAATCCTTTGGGTCCTGGGGCAGGGCGTGGGTAGGCCCGCCGGGACAGGGGAGCCAGAGGCAAAGATGGGTGGGAGAAGGGAGCCTCGCTTTCTTCCTCTGCTAGACACCCAAGCCTGGCCTCTTGGCAGGAGCCGGGGCAGCTGCCAGACCAAAGAGGACTCCATCTCCAACTGCGTGCCTGAGAACGGGCAGAGCCGCTGCTCCATCCCACGCAAACACCTGCAGCTGTACCAGCACATGAGCATCTGGGTGCAGGCAGAGAACGCGCTGGGGACCAGAGCGTCCCCACAGCTGTGCCTTGTTCCCATGGATGTCGGTGGGTGACGCTGGGGGCAGGGGAGGGGAGAGGCCCCCACAATGGGCAGACCCAGAGAGGTACAGAGAGGGAAACATAGACCCAGCAACAGACAGGGAGACACTGGAAGACCTAGAGATAGAAGAAGAGAAGAGAGACAGAGACAAAGGGGGGTGCACTTGGAGACACAGACACACAGACGTGGAATAAACACAGAGGCAAGGAGACACATTCATTAATTCTTTCCACAAATTTCTTGAAGTGCACACTATGTACCAGGCACTGTTCTAGGTGCTGAGGATACAGCAGTGAACAAAATATCAAAAATCTTGCCCTTAGAACGGTACATTCTAGTGGGCAAAATAAATAAAATAGAACATCAGATGATGATGAGTGTGATGGGGAAATTAAAGCAAGGAAGGGGATAGGGAGAGCTGGGGGTGTGGGGCAGTTGCTATTTCGGTAAGGTGGTCAGGGAAGGCCTCCCCGAGAAGGTGACATCTGAGAAGATCCTTGAAGGAAACGAGGGAGCGAGCTGCTGGCTATCTGGAGGGAAAGTGCTGCAGAGAGAGAGAACAATCAGTGCAAAGGCCCTGGGGCAAGAGTATGAAAGAAAGACCTAGAGAGAATCAGACACATCTCCAGAGACAGACCTGCAGAAACATGATGGCATAGAGATGAGGAGACAGAGAGAGAGAGGGAAAGAAAGACACAGAGACCCCATGGATGGAGACCCAGGGAGGAAAATGGAACCACAGAGAGGGAGACGAGCGGGAGCTAAGGCAGAACACTTGAGGATGGGGCAGGGGAAGGTTCTGACAGTCCTTCTCCTTGCAGTGAAACTGGAGCCCCCCAAACTGTGGGCCCTGGACCCCAGGCCTGAGGTGGCCCCACCCCCGCCTGGCTGCCTGCGGCTGCGCTGGGAGCCATGGAAGCCAGGCCTGCACATAGAACAGAAGTGTGAGCTGCGCCACCAGCCACGGCTTGGAGCAGCCAGCTGGGCCCTGGTGAGGCGGAGGGCAACCTCAAGAGCCTGGGGTGGGGGTGCCGAGGGGAGGATAAGTTGAGCTGGCCCTGAAGGGCACAGGGATCCAAGCTCAGAGCCACGGCTCCCCCACCTCCCCAGGTAGGCCCCCTGCCCTTCAAGACCCTCCAGCATGAGCTCTGTGGGCTCGTCCCATCCACAGCCTACGCCCTGCAGATGCGCTGCACCCGCTGGCCCCTGCCCGGCTTCTGGAGCGACTGGAGCCCCAGCCTGGAGCTGACCACCACACAACAGGGTAAATAGGTGGTGAGGGGCTGGGAGCAGCCAGCAGGACCCAGACCAGCCTCCAGGGCCCTCCCTGACCGGCACCCTCTCCTCTCGCTCCAAACACAGTCCCCATCGTCAGACTGGACGCATGGTGGCGGCAGAGGCAGCTGGACCCCAGGACGGTGGACGTGCAGCTGTTCTGGAAGGTGACCCCCTCTGAAGGCCATCCCTCCACCCCTGAGACCTCCTGCAACCCAGACAGACCCTTGGGAACTGGGGCTCAGGACTCCAACAGGTCTGGGAGGCTTGGATGCATTTGTACGTGACGTGCATGCACTTTGCATGTGCGTAGGAAGCTGGGCAGTGCCCTTCTGGAGAGACTACAACGCAGGACTCACCTACGGCAAACGGTGGTTCAGTGAATAATTAAGAGCCTGCTGCACACACTGACTTGCTTCTTCCTTCCCTCCTCCTAGGACCTGGCACAGGGGAACAGGGGAAGAAAGGAGGGCGGTAGGAAGGCTGGCTCCCAGCCTGGTGGGCTCAGTTTCTGGGATCTATCCACCCCATCCGGAAGCCCTCCTCCACTCAAGATGACCTGTGCATCCTCCTTATCTTTTTCCTCCTATGCCCACCACAGCCAATGCCCCTGGAGGAGGACAGCGGGCAGATCCAAGGGTATGTGGTCTCCTGGAGCCCCTCAGGCCAGGCTGGGGCAGTTCCACCCCTCTGCAACACCACGGAGCTAAACTGCACCTTCCACTTGCCTTCAGAAGCCCGGGAGGTGGTCCTTACGGCCTATAACACAGCTGGGACCTCTCGTCCCACGCCAGTGGTCTTCTTGGAGAGCAGAGGTAAAGAGGGCTGGCAGCTAGTAGTGGTGGTTAAGCTTACAAATTTTGAGCCTAGACTCCCTGGGTTCAAATCTAGTCCTGTCACTTGCTAACAGTGTGACCTGGGTAAGTTACTTAACCTCCCTGGCCTCTGTTTACTCATCTAGCAAATGGGGATGATACAGTGCATAGCCCAAAGGGTTGTTGTGAAGATTACAGGAGTTAAGACATGTGCCTGGCACAGAGTAATTGCTCAATATGTGTTAGCTATCATTATCATTAGCCAGAACCAGGTTAATCTGGTGGTGGTGCACACACACACACACACACACACACACACACACACACACGGAGTCCATCCTGCCAAGGAAGACGGGAGGGAAAGCCCTAAGTTTTCCAGGTGGAATACAGCCCCTGACTTAACTGCTTATTCTCAGGGGATCAGCGACCATGCCCTCCGCCAGGTTCCCCTGCACGTAGGTCCTCACAAGGTGAGACTAACAATAACAATAGCTAACATTCCCACTTACTAGCCCTGTGACCTTAGACAAGTTACTTAACCTCTCTGAGTCTCAGTTTTCTCATTGATAAAATGGGGACAGTAGTAGTGTCCTCCTCATGAGACAATTAGGAGACTCAATGAATCACTATATCCCAAGGACTACACCTGGCACATACCAGTGTTAGCTTTTATCATTATCAAGCATCACTCCACACCAGGCACCATGCCAGGCTTGTTTCATGAGTCATCTCATTTAATCTGCACCGAGACCCTCTGACATAGGAACTTTTATCATCATTCCCACCTTACAGATGAGGAAACTGAGGCCCAGATGTTGATTTACCCAAGGTCACCCAGCTTGTAAGTAGCAAAGCCAGGATTTGAACCCAGGCTTCTGGCTCTGGGGCCTACATGCCTTTCACCTTCATTCCATCATCTCCTACTCTGTCTCCAGGCCCGCCCCTGGGCAGACTCTATACCATGGCCCGAGACCCTCATAGCCTCTGGGTGGGCTGGGAGCCCCCCAGCCCTCAGCCTCGGGGCTATGTGATTGAGTGGGGCCTGGGTTCCCCCAGCCCCAGCGGCAGCCATAAGACCTGGAGGATGGAGCATAACGGAAGCATCACAGGGACCCTGCTGGAGGGTGAGACAGGCATTGGGGGCTGGGCAGGGCTGGGGAGAAGGGGAGGCAATGCTTGTCTGACAGTGGGGAAAGGGCAACCTGAACCACCCTAGAGAAGCAGATTCCCCAGTCTTTCTTGGTCTTTCACTGTTCTGATCTCATATCCTCAGAATCGGGAAGTTCTTCCTACAGTCTAACTGTATCCTTTCTTTCTACAGCCCTGACCCTGCCACCTTTCTAGCTCTCTCTTTCACTTTTTTCCCTTTATCCCCACCAAATGATCTGAGGAAGAGATTGCAGAGGCTAGCCCTGCAGTATGAGGCCCAGGTTATCCCTGACTAGGGGTCTGAGGTTAGCTCCTGATCCGCAGCAGAGGTTAGCCCCTAACCAGAGAGCCTTCACCATTTCTCTCTACAGAGAACATCAGGCCCTTTCAGCTCTACGAGATCACTGTGACCCCCCTGTACCAGGACACCAAGGGACCCTCCCAGCTCATCTATGCCTACTCCCAAGAGACGGGTTCGTCAGCCACCAGGCCCAATCCTCTCATCTCTCAAGGCCTGCCTGGGCCCCGACAATCAGGAATATGCGGGAACATTTCCTTCCTCCCCTATCTCTGGCCCAGAAGAGGGTCCCTCCCAAGCCTTAAATTACCCCTGCCTTACACTGGACCCCTGCAGGCAGACAGAAGTCAAGTGGTGGGGTGATAGAAATTGGGCAGTGAGTTTGCAGAATTTGGGGAGCAAGTCTAGCAAAAATCAATCAATTGCCCTGACAGAAGTCAGGTGCCAGTGTGATAGAAATTAGACAGAGGGCTTGGCATAAATTGAGAGAGGGAGTGGCAGAAATTAAATAGTGAGTCGGACAAAATCAGGCCTGGCAGAAATCAGGTATCGGGGCTTTGGAGTCAAAGAGAAACAGGTTCAAATCCTGGCTCAGCCACTTATCAGTAGTTGATGGAATTCATTCGAAGTTCCCGGGGAAATGAGGCTTGGACACGAGTCCCCTTGGACTCTCTTATATCACCCACCCTGCAGTGTGTCCCAGTTCTCGGGTCTGGGAAGCCACAAGAAGTCCAGCTGGGCTCTCCACCCAGCTCCCTGTCAGCCCCTGCACCTCTCTCTCCCGGCAGCCCCCTCCCATGCCCCAGAGCTGCATCTAAAGCACATCGGCAAGACATGGGCCAAGCTGGAGTGGGTGCCCGAGGCCCCTGAGCTGGGGAAGAGCCCTCTTACCCACTACACCATCTTCTGGACCAATGCTCAGGACCAGTCCTTCTGTGAGTCTAACCTCAGCACCCACAGCCCCAGAAGGCCCAGGAGGGGGTGCTCAGCAGCCTTGGAGGGAGCCTCAGCATCCGGACCCAGGCTGACCATTCTCTTTTGCTCTCAGCCACTGTCTTGAATGCCTCCTCCCATGGCTTTGTCCTCCACGGCCTGGAGCCCGGCAGCTTGTACCACGTCCACCTCATGGCAGCCAGCCAGGCAGGGGCCACCAACAGTACAAGCCTCACCCTGATGACCTTGGCCCTAGGTAAGGGGGCTGGCCAGACAAGGCTGTTGGGAGGGTGCCTCACTCAGAGGATCTCCATTTTGAGAGTAGACAGGCCTTGCCTGGGTCCCCTGGTCTGAGGGAGGAGGCCCAGCCCTGCTCATGGAGCCCGGTCTGAGGGAGGAGGCCCAGCCCTGACCTTGGATCCCAGTCTGAGGGAGGAGGCCAGCCTTCCTTGCCTGCACTCTAACCTCTTCTGGCTTTCCCCTCACCCCAGAGGAGTCTGAGCTGCACATCCTCCTGGGTCTGTTCGGCCTCCTGATCTTGTTCATCTGCCTCTGTGGGGCTGCCCGGCTCTGCTGCAGACCGAGGTGAGTCCTCTTGAGAGACCTGACATCCAGCTACCCCTGCCTACAGGGCACTGCAGGCCCAAGTGGGCAAGTCTGAGTCCCTCCCAGCCTTCCCAGGCCTCAGGGCCCACGTCTGGGAGTCAGGCCCTCCCCCTTCTCCTCTCTGCACTAAGGGGCCATCCCTTCAGTTGCTGGGAGTGGGTGGGAGAAAGGATGGAAAGATGGGAGGGCATGCCTGACCCAGCCTTCACCTGTTCCCTTCTGCAGCAGGAAGAATCCCCTCTGGCCAAGTGTTCCAGACCCCGCCCACAGCAGCCTGGGCACCTGGGTGCCTACCATTATGGCGGAGGTGAGAACCCTGGAGGGAGAGGGAAATGGGGCTGGGTGTGTTGGCTCAAAGTGAAGGGATACCCCTCTGCAGACGGGTTCTCAGGCCTTCCCATCACCTCCTAGCAAGATCCCCTCCCTTGGGAGTAAAGCAAATCTGAGTTTGAATCCCAGTTCTACCCATTTCAAAGCCTCAGTCATCTCCCTGTGAAATGGGGCCAATCCCACACAGAATCGTTAGGGAGATTCACTGAGCAAAGTCTGAACATTACAGAGCACATGTCAGGAACATGGAAGGTGCTTTGCAAGTGTAACCCTTTGAGTTCTAGCAGAGAGCAGCAGGAATGTCCCCACAACTGCCCCAGCTCAGGAAGGGACAGGGGCTGGCACAGACATCTGAAATGAATCATGCCCTCACCCCACGTCTTTGTGTCCAGGAGACCTTCCAGCTGCCCAGCCTTTGGGACACCGGCATGCCACCCATCACCAAGATCACAGTGCTGGAGGAGGAAGAGAAGAAGCCAGGGCCCTGGGAGTCCAGTGATAGCTCAGGGACCTGTGGCCTCCCCACCCTGGTCCAGGCCTATGTGCTCCAGGGGGACCCAAGAGCACCTTCCACCCAGCCCCAGCCCCAGCCTGGCACCAGTGACCAGGTCCTTTATGGGCAAGTGCTGGGCAGCCCCACAGGCCCAGGGCCAGGGCACTATCTCCGCTGCGACTCCACTCAGCCCCTCTTGGGGGGCCTCACCCCCAGCCCCAAGTCCTACGAGAACCTCTGGTTCCAGACCAGCCCCCTAGGGACCTCAGAGCCCCTAGTCCCAAACCAAGAGGACGATTGTGTCTTTGACTTCCCCCTCCTGCAGGGGCTCCGGGTCAATGGGGTGGAGGGGCTGGGGGGCTTCTAGAGTTTCCTGGGACTCCCTACCTGGGCCTGCCTCTTGAAAGGCCTGGGCCATCCAGAGAAGAGAAGGTCAGTAAACCCATCACTAAAAACCACCTGGCCCCAGGAATGGCAGAAAGGCTCCCAGTCTCTCCCTACCCCTGGCCCCCAACATCCCACCCCCACGACCCTAATCTCCATGGGCTGGGCCTCCCACTTTAAAGGCCAGAGCATGCTTCGTCCAGCCCTGCCCACTAGCCTTTTGTGCTCATTTCCTGTAATATCAGTCTCTTAAACTGGTTTGTGGTTCGGTTTGATTTGGTTTTGAGAAATTCTTGAGCTTGCCTGAGTCTCTGTTCTTCCTTTCAGGGCCCTAGCAATCAGGGGGGTTCTTCTCCAGAATTGTTCATTTGTTTATTCTCTCCTTCATTCATTCATTCAACCAGCCCTCACATAGCATCTAGGCCCTGGGCTGGCAGCAGGGATTCAAAAATGACTCGGCTCAGTCCATCCTCAAAGGGCTCCCATTCTAGTGGTGGAGACTTGAAAACTGACCGCTGGGGCAGAGGCCAGGGTTACCTAGAGGGAGCCACAGAGTACTGTGGGACATGGGGAATAGACCTCGGAAAAGAGGGAAATATAATTAAAAACAAAATCTTCTGGGCCGGCCCTGTGGCTTGGTGGTTAAGTGCGCGCGCTGCTATGCTGGCGGCCCGGGTTCGGATCCCGGGTGCGCATCGAGGCACCACTTCTCCGTTCATCCTGAGGCCGAGTCCCACATACAGCAACTAGAAGGATGTGCAGCTACGACACACAACTATCCACTGGGGCTTTGGGGGGAAAAAATAAAATAAATAAAATCTTTAAAAAAAAAAAAACAAAATCTTCTGCCAACCTAGAAAACTTCTCCACAAAGGGGAGAGAAGGAAGAAAACAGTTTTATTATTGAAGGAGCATTAAACCAGGATGTAATGCACTTCACAGGCAAGAACATACAGACAGAAAGAAATCCTCCCCTTTTATACAGCCAAGTGGACACATTTTCTCAAGGTAAACAATAACTAGTCCTCAAGCAAGAGGACTTGACAGCACCGTTTGTCATACCGGGTTCATCCTAAATTCACCTTGTAAATGGGGTAGCCACCTGTGTTTGCTAATTGCCTTTATCCAAAGGAGAAATGAATTTCTCATATCTTTATGAGAGGAGGTAGGTTTGCAACTTGGAGCTAGGTACCGGCTGGTTAGGCTCCTACCCTCCTGCAGAAACTGGGAGATAGGAGCGCTATCTTCCTTAATGATTACATTTCAAAGAGATGTCTCCCAGGTCCTTGAGAAAAACAATCCTGGGTTGTAAAACTGGCAAGAAGCTTATTTGGCTTTTAAAAAGATTTACATACATCTCAAAAGGGCAGAGAAAGAATTCACAATTACAAGCATTCTAAGGTAAATGCTCTAAGAAATGTGTGTGGGGTGAGAGTCTTTTCCCTTTTTTGCACCAGGGAGAATTAAAATTTATTTATTAATTTATTTTTTGCTGAGGAAGATTCAGCCTGAGCTAAAATCTGTTGCCAATCTTCCTCTTTTTGTATGTGAGCCACAGCCACAGCATGACCACTGACAGACAAGTGGTGTAGGTCTGCTCCAGGAACTGAATCTCAGCCTCTGAAGCAGAGTGCACCGAACTTAACCACTAGGCCAAAATTTATTTTTCCTACTTTTAATTTGTATTTGTCCTTACATCCTTCATTTCACAAATATTATCACAGCTAATATTTATTGAATGCTTACTATTTACCAGGTGCTTTGCACACAACTGCCTCAGTTAATCCTCTAACAACTTAGAAGATAGATACTGTTATTACCATCCCCATTTGATGGATGAATACACTGTGGCCCAGAAAGGTTGAGTGACTTGCCCACAGAATCACACAGCGAGTAAATGGCTGAGCATGGATTCCAGCCCAGGGCTGTCAAATTCCAAAATCAGCGACCTTAATCACCAGGCTACAGGGCTGCCAGAGAGGAGGCTGAAACCCAGTAGTTCTTATAGGGCCCCATCCCGGACTCCGGGGGAATCCGGGGTGGAAATATTAGGCTGGGGAAAAAGGCTACAGCAGCCCCCATGGAAGCCCCCAAAGTAACCGGGGCCTGAGGCCAGGAAGGCAGAGTAGGATTGCATACCCAAGGAAAAATGCCATCTTAGGATTTATACAGCATCGCGCACCACCAACGGGGCCACGCAACCACCAAGCCGGCAATCTAGACCACACCGCTAACCAGATCTCTCCACTCGGCCCATTCCGCCTCACCACTGAGTCCCGCTCTCGGTCCTCATCTGCTCCGCTCTCGCGCCTGCGCTCGATTGGTCGAGCCTGAGCCAGCATGGCGGCGCCCATGTAACAAGTCCGTGCCGCGGAGGGGACGGCGGCCGCAGCGCGGGCCCCGCGGGGGTCAGAAGTCACCATGCTGAGGGCGGCGTGGAGGGCGCTGAGTTCGATTCGGACCCAGGCAGTCACCCAGGCCCCGGTCCTTGGGCTGCCGGGCGCAGGGTGCGCCAGGCTTCCCTCCGACCCATGGAGCCTTCTCTCACCTCCTCGAGGTGAGGAGTGAGAAACCGGGCAGCGGGAGTACGGAAGTGGGGTTCGGCGGCGATAGAAGATACGGGGGTCGAGGGTAGGAGAGAAGTGCAGCTGCAGGATAGGGAGAAAGGGTGGTGGGTGGGGAAGAAGTAAGACGAGGTGAGAGAGACATGGGGTGGCGGGGTGGGGAAGAAATGGGGCGGCGGTTAGGCGCAGAGGTGCACAGACCGTGGAGGAAGGGTAATGCAAGAGCCGTAGGAGAGAATCGAGGCTGGACTGTTCAAGGAGATGGGCCTCAGCCCACTCTCTTCTATGCAGGTCTCATCTTCCAGGCCGCCCGCGGATATGCCATCCGGAAACCAGGTGAGAGCTCTTGGAGCGGAAAGAGACTGCCTGGAAGGCTCGGGGTGGCCAAGTGGACAGAGGTGGCTAGTTAGAGCCACTAGAAGGGGTGGGCAAAGGGGTGGGCCAGAGGTCCCGAGCAGAAGACCCCACGTCCACTTTGTCACAGAGCTGTAGGCCTGAAGCCTGCATGGAGGGCGAGGGGAGGGGAGGTGGAGGGCGGGAGCCTCCGGACTGGGTATGAGTGAAATGAGCTAGGCAGAGGGAATGCGTGGCTGGCCCTACCCAGGCTTCCCTAGAATGAGCACTTTGTGTCTGCCTTTCTGAGTTGGAGTGCGTGGTTTCCCATTCCAAGGCAGTCTGCAGAGTGGTTAAGATCTCTCCTACTAGGTAAATGACATTGCGCAAGTTACTTCCTCTCTCTGAGTCTCATTCTAAAAGGAGTGTAAGAGTGTATATTTGTTGTTAGGATTCAATGATAACGCATGAAAAGCATCCTTAGCACTGTGCTCAGTAAACGGTAGTATATATTAGTATGTATTGCTATTAACATTATTTCCATAGCAGCAGAGCAGGGTCTGACTGGAGAGGACAAATGATGTCTCCCATGCCTCTCCCTCACCTCCAAGGGAGATCAGGAATGCACACACCAAGGCTGAGGGTTTCCTGTGGTCTCTCTTTGGTGCTTACATTTCCAGCATCCTAAAGCTAGGGGTCTCTCCTCAATCCCCTTCTTTCATTCACGCAGTCAGCCAGCGTTTGTTGAGTGTCTGTTCTATGCTGGGCCATGGACCAGACTGTGGGAGATTCAGAGGGAGTCAAACTCAGCCCTTCCACAGGAGGACCCATCCGAATGGGGGATCTGATAACTGTAGAGCCAGACAGGTGTGTGCGAGATGAAAGCACAAGTACGAGGTCTTAGGAAAGGCCGTCATGAAATATCAAGGCAGGTGCCCACGGGGTTTGCGGAGGAGAAACTGAGCCCAGAGATGTCCAGTACCTTGCCTGAGACCCTGGGTGTCTCTGACAGAGTTGGTGAGAAGAGCCAACTGTGAGAGGATGGACAGTGAGAGTTGACTCTGGGTGTTTTCCATCCCTACACTTGACAGTCCAGCCCAGCCAAGAAGATGACCCGCCCCCTTCCACACTGCTCAAAGACTACCAGAACGTCCCTGGAATTGAGAAGTAAGCAGGAAGAAATCTCTTTGATGAGGCAAGGGGTCTTGGGAAGACTGGGGAGGACAGTGGCTTCGAGGCCTGGCCTGCTGCGTCTGAAGCTTGTTTATAGAATGGGGAGAACTACAGAAGCCCAGGCATGGTGAGAGTGAGTGGGCAGCAGAGCAGATGGAGCTCAACTTCTTGCTTTTTTTGTACTCTAGGTAAGACCTTATACCATGAGCTACCAATGAGGGAATATGCCTCACGGGTCTTTGTGGAAATCTCTCATCTCTTGAATCTACAAAAGCCCGGTGAGGGAAGAAATAGTGCCTCCATTTTATAAATTACCAAGCTACCCAATGTCATACAGCTTCTAAGGGGCAGAGCTGGGGTTTGAATCGACGGCTGAAAGACACCAAAACCAGGATCCGTCTGCTCAGCCCCTGTCCTGCACGATGGGAGCTGGGCAGTCCCTCCAGTCCCTCCCACTGTGCAGTAAGATGTGAGAAAGAAACAATGATTATAGAATTGAAGTGTCTCAAGACAGATTGAACCATATTCTAGCTAAAATGAAAATCTTTCCTTTGCCCTCCCTATGACAAGTCTAGAACACTCAAGCTGACAGCCTCGATTTTCTGTAGTTATCTCATCGTTCCATGTTCTTAGCCCACGCTGAGATCAGATCCATGCTGACTTTTAATCCCTGAGAAATGGCTCCCCACTTCCAGAGAGAGTCATTTGTTGTAAAAGAAATTTTCAGTCATCCTTGCTTTTCAAACTAAAATGAAAACAGCATTGCTTCTCCTTTCCCCCTCCCCCCACACCTGTCTCTCATTGCTATGGTTTTTCCACAGGGTTGATGATGTCGTGAAAAGACTCTTATCTTTGGAAATGGCCAACCGGGTGAGTGGCCTGAGCCAAACCTCATCCTCTCTCAGTCCTCCCCTCCGGGACTCCCTCCTACCCTGGTAACACCTCCCATCCCATGCTTCTCAAGTCATAGCACTTATCCCACCGTCCTTCTATGTCCACTTGTCAATACCCTAGACTGAGCATCTCAAGGGCTGGGATAGTCTTGTTCCCTCATTATACCCCTAGCACCTGACAAACAGTAGGTGCTCAATAAAGATCTAATGCCTGAATGAATGAGCAAGCTTTGGGGACACTCATCCAACAAGCCATTTCTCCTGTCAGTGGCATTGGCCTTGGGCTCACCTAGATGTGGTGAGCCATGTGGTTGGCCAGAGGCCATGCCCTGGTGAGCAGAGTAGAGTCAGGCCCTGAGCTATGGCCTAGTTGCCATGACTGCAGCCATGGCCTTGGAGGTATGAGGGCTAGTTCTTAAGGGGTGGCAGACTCACAGATTCTCTGTCTCTATCTTCAACAGAAGGAGAAGCTAAAAATCAAGCAAGAGCAGTTGATGAACAAGATCGTGGCAAACCCAGAGGACACCAGCTCCCTGGAGGCTCGAAGTTGGTCTGGGTGCCCTTGGGGAGTGGGGGTTCAGGGGAGTCTGCTACCTGGTGCTTGATCCAGGGCTCTTGTCTGCAAGTGCACTAGGAATTAGATGTGGCTTGATAGAGGGAGAGACAGGAAGGACCAAGGGCAGTGAAAACTGCACTCTATCCTGAGTTCTGTGATGCTGGAGTCAGCGCCCAGGTCCTGCCTCATACCTCTGTGTGAGCTCAGGCAAGGTTCCTCAGAAACCAAAGCTTGTGTCTCTGTCTCTTTCCACTCTGCAGCTAAGGTAGTGTGAAAGGCCATGTAGTCAGGGCCAAGGTTCCCACTGCACTCTCTGCAGTGCTCCCAGAACTCAGTGTGTGTATGGGAAGTGCCTTCTGTGGTGACAGCCTCTCCTTGAGGTCACCCTCTGCTTTTGCCCTTGGCCCCACCTTTGCAATACAGACAGGAATCAAACAAGAGGTTACCTGAAGGAAGGATACTCTGGGGCTTTAGGAGATGAGTGGGGGCTGGTAATTCTGAAAACTCATTAGTGAAAACAGAGAAATAAGGGTGGCAGCTGGAAGAGGAGAGGCAAGGAGTAGACTCTTGACAGTTTTAGAATCTTATCTTACTGCATTGGCTAGGACCTCCACTACAGTGTTGAATCATTAACCATGAAGCATGCATCCTAGACTAATTCCTGTATTTAATAGGAATGCTCTTAAGTTTTACCATTAAGAGTGCTATTTGCGGGCCGGCCCCGTGGCTTAGCGGTTAAGTGCGCGCGCTCCGCTACTGGCGGCCCGGGTTCAGATCCCGGGCGGACACCGACGCACCGCTTCTCCGGCCATGCTGAGGCCGCATTCCACACACAGCAACTAGAAGGATGTACAACTATGACATAGAGCTATCTACTGGGGCTTTGAGGGGAAAAAAGGAGGAGGATTGGCAATAGATGTTGGCTCAGAGCTGGTCTTCCTCAGCAAAAACAGGAGGATTAGCACGGGTGTTAGCTCAGGGCTGATCTTCCTCACAAAAAACAAAAAAGAATGCTATTTGCTATGGTCTGGGGATGGTACCTTTATAAGATTAAGGATCTTCCCTTCCTTAGGCTTTGCTTTTTAAAAGAAAAATAATCCAAAGTCTTTTGAGATCTTGAAATTCAGAGTGCTTTGGGAATTATAGAGAGCTATACAAGAGCATTGGTGATTGTTATTCCTTGAGGTCTTAAAACATAAGCCAGGCCTGGGCCCTTCCTTCCTCTGTGCCTGACTCTCATCCTCTGTGGTTTGTGGTTTCAGTTGTTGCCTTGACTGTCAAGATACGCAATTATGAAGAACACATGCAGAAACATCGAAAGGTAAAGCTTGGGCATTGCTCACAGCTAAACAGTAGCAGCCGGGGGACAGGCATCTGGGAGGTGAAGGGCTCTGGGTCCAGAGAAGCAGCTTGAGAAGCCAGGTGGCTGCAGCCCCAGAGTGCCCACACTTCAGCTGCAGTGGGAAAAACATCTCCCTCCTGCCTCCCGTGGAGAAATGGGAGCCTTCCAGGGCTGTGCTGAGTGTCTCCAAGGTCAAGAACACAAACTTTAGAGCATGGTCACAGTGTCAGCAGATACTGAGTGCTCGGTAAATGTTCGTTGAATGCATGAATGGGCTCAGATTTCCCTGGGTTCAAATCCCAGCCCTGCCACTTCCACTTTACTAGCTCTGTGACTTTGAGGAAGATGCTTCACATGTCTGAGCCTCAGTTCTAGCCATAAAAGGGGGTCATCATAGTACCTGCTGACAGGATTGTAAGGACTATAGGAAATAATAATGGCAGCCAATATGATGCATATAAAGTATTTAGGCCTCATGCTAAATACTTTACATGCATCAGCTCATTTAATCCTTATAACCATCTTTCTATCCCATTTTACAGAAGAAGAATCTAGGCATGGAGTAATTAAGTTATTCCTTAAGGCACATCACTAGGAAATGATGTGTTAGGACTTGAAAGTAGGTGATCTCACTCCAGGGCCCATATTCTTAACCATTATGCCATATCTCAGCAGTGCTGGGCACAGAGCTGCTATAACTAGGCAGTTGCTGGTATTTTTTAAAAATCCATGGCTGCGAATACAGACTGGTCCAGCTCCATGCCTGGAACCCCAGTGTTCCCTGGAGCTGGTTGAGCCTGCTCCTTGGAGGTCAGAGTTTTGTTCATTTGGAGCGTGGAACACCAGCCCCACTGCAGGGGTCCCTCACAGAGCAGCACCCGGCTGCAGGTAGGGGTCTCCAGGAGGAGCACAAGGCCTTCCCTCCTCCCTGCCCCAGCTGACAGTTTGCTGAGTGTGGAGAGGCCAAGCAGGTGGTATAGGGGAAAAAGCATGCGATTTGGAGTGAGACCAGTAGACCCAGATTCAAGACCTGACCTCTCACAAGGTCCCTACCCAGCACAGTTCCAGGACCTTACATGAATCAGATAAACATCTTTGAGCCTTTATTTCCTGTCTGTAAAATGGGAATAACAATGACAATACCTACTGCTAATATTTGCACTAATATTTGCGTAAGGTTGTTGGGAGGTTTCCATGAGATAATAAAATGACCATCCTTTGCTACTATGAAGTAGCATACCAGTTATTCCTATAATACTAAAAGTAGTACCAACTCTTACAGGACAAAGCCCACAAGCGCTATCTGCTGATGAGCATCGACCAGAGGAAAAAGATGCTGAAAAACCTCCGTAAGACCAACTATGGTGTCTTTGAGAAGGTGTGCAAGGAGCTAGAGATTGAGTACACCATTCCGCCTCTGTACAACCGAAAAGCCCACCGCCGCTGGGTGACCAAGAAGGCTCTGTGCATTCGGGTGCGAGTCAGAATTGCTGCTTTGGTGGGCCCTACTCTGGGACTGTGGTAGAGAGAGCAGAAGGGAGGGGTCGTCTGCTTCTGGTCGAGGTGGCTCACAGGCCACCAACCCCATGGAGAAAGGCTGGGGTGCCCATCTGGGGGAGTCACTTCCCACCCCACCTGCTCCAAGTCTGAGGTTTTGCCTAGGATCACAAAGTCATTCCTGCTCCCTTTCATCCCCAGGTTTTCCAAGAGGCTCAAAAGCTGAAGAAGCAAAGAAGGGCCTTAAAAGCTGCAGCAGCAGCCCGGAAACAAAGTCAGAGGAACCCAGAGAGCCCTTCCAAAGGCGGACCAGAGACAATCAAAGAAAACCAATAAATTCTGTTAAAGTCATGTCTTTCTGCCTTGAAGAATAATAGGAGAGAAGGTGGGGCTCTTTGTGGTTGAGGAGGAGGAGGAATTCATTCTTTCATTCAGCTCGGGGATCCCAGGGTTGTCTGAGGCAGAGTCCCTGCCTTCACACACCAGAGGACACATGCTCATCACACACACTCACATACACAACTCCCTGTCGTCCGGGCGGCATTTCAGTGGAGGCGAGACTGCGCACACAGCAGCACAGAGGCGGTGTGGCTGGCTGGCTGTTGGGTGAGAAGGCCAGCTGTAGGAACTGCCTTCTAGACTGGGCCCTGAAAGATGAGTGGAAGTTCACTGAGCAGAAATGGGAGGGAAGGGTTCCTGGGCAGAAGGAATTACAACTGCAAAGGCAGAGAAGTGTACAGATGCATGCTGTATTCAGAGAGTGGTGAGGACTGGAAATAAAGCTTACAAGTAAGCCAAAGCTGGGCTGTGAGAGGCTCTATGTCCTAGGCTGAGGAGATGGTACACTTCCTCCAGGGAGTGGGGAGACAGTTAAGGTTTTAAAACCAAAAGAGTTCTGATAGCAACAAGTCTGTTTGAGACAGGCAACAGCAGTATGGAGGGTAGATGGGAGGGGGAGAGATCAGAGCAATGTATTTTTTGGGGACAGAGGTATCAGTGTTCAGACTGAGAATCTGATAAAAGCTACAAGTGCTATCCCCAGGAAACTGCACATGTATAAAACTGCTTATAAATTCTGGGGAGTTATGGATACCCACTTCCCCACAAAGCCCATCTATTTACACCAAGTTAAATGCCAAGGCCTTAAAGCCTTGACTGTGTCCTCACACGCAGAGGGAGAAAGATCTCTCCTCTTCTTATAAGGGCACTAATCCCATCATGAGGGCCCCAGCCTCATGGCCTCATCTAACCCTCATCACCTCCTAGAGGCCCCATCTCCAAATATCATCACCTTGGAAGTTTGCACTTCAACATATGAATTTGGGGAGGATACAAACCTTCAGTCCATAACACTGGGGAAAAAACTGGACTTCATTTTGAGTGAGAAGGGGAGCCACTGAGGAAAGCCAAAAAGGAAGAAAGATGTGTTAAAGTGATGTCCAAAGAGCAGTTGGAAATTTAGATCCAGGACTCTAGACAGGTCTGAGCTAAAGAGGTTTGGGAGTTAGGTTTAGATTGAAGCCACGGCTGTGAGTGAAATTGCCCGGGGAAGGACTGTAAAAGAAGAAAAAAGGGCCATGTCGGGATGAGAAGGATGATCTCTGAGGGCATAGCCTGAGTCAGGAGGAGCAGCTGAGGTTGAGGGGAAGGTGAAGTGAGGGTACAACAGAGAGCCCAGGGTCCTGCAGAATCAGAAGTGAGATGAGAGGCTCAGAACTGAAGATGAACTGTTCAGATATCACCTCCAGGAACAGTAGGGAAGGCCTTTTACGGGACAGGACTCTGAGTGGACACAGTACTTAGAGATCTTGTGCTGGAGGGCCAGCTGCCAGCATTTAGGGGGGCTAGAGGAGAGGAAGGAGAGAAAAGGAACACACATTAATGGAGCAGGCCCTGCAGGAAAGGCATCATTTTAAGGGCTGCCTTTTTAGGCACATTATCTCATCTAATCTTGAAAGCCACCTTTACCACCCTCCCCCACCAATATTGGCATAATTATCCTCAGTTTACCATAAGAGAATTGAGGCTCAGAGATGTTAGGTAACTTGTCCAAATTCACACAGCTGGTTAGAGGCAGGCCTAGGATTCAACCCACATCTGTCTGGACTCCAAAGCCCAGGTTCTATTCATTATACCACACTGTCTTGGGGCAGAAAATGGTCCGAGAAGCTGTGGGAGGAATCTACACTATGGCAAACTCAAATACCTTGAGCAACCAGGCAGGAACACAAATGCATGAAGGCCAGGTGTAAGATAGTGATGCTAAGCTGCCGGTTACATTCCTATCCTAGTTATAGTCTCTTTTAAAATGGTGCAGAGACCAGGCAAAATCAAATCAAAGCCCTGGGCTGCCCACTTTCAACTACTGGGTAGTGTCTGATGCTGAGATGTCAGTTAAGGACCAAAAAGTCTTGATGGTGAAGAGTTCCAGTGGGGTGGAGAGAGCTGAATCCCAGTTGCAGTGAGGTGAGGAGTGAGGATGTTAAGGAAACTCAGGTTGTGAGTATAGACTACTCTTTCAAAAACTTGGCTGTGAAAGGAAGGAAAACGGACTAGAGAAGGTGTGGGAAGGACTTGAGTTTGGTGTATATCCAGGCAAGACTTTCCAGTGGTGGATGTGGTTATGAGGAAGAGAGAGGGTGATGCTCCTTAGAGGGGGTGACTTACTGGTGAGAGGAGTTCGGCTGGATTGGGGGAGGGGAGTGCAGGTGATGTCTCCTGAAAGGTAGTCGGAGACAGAGTGGAGAGCCTTGAATGCCATGCCAGACATCTAGACTGTGATCTGTCAAACGGAGCCACTGAAGGGGTGTGTCGTATTGCAAGTGATTCTGAAATTTAGCCTACCAGCTGTTGCAGGTGGACGAGAGAAAAGAGCAGTAATATGGGGGACCACAGAACGCAGACAGAAAAAGAAATAAGAAATATAAGAAAGATTTTGGAGGAAAAAGCAGAATTTGGTGACTGATAATTAATAGGACCCAGGGAGACAGTTGGAAGCCAAGGCTCAGGTTTCAAGTCTGAGCGGCTGGAAGGAAAGATTAGTAGGTTTTAGAAGTATTGAAATTTACAGAAATGGTTGCTCATCAACGTAAAAATGTACAGCCGATGGAAGGAAGGCGATCTGGAAGCTCAAGATGGAGGTGAAGTAGGGGCCACTGCCCTCAAAGCAGAGAAGTGGACGGGAGGCCTGCCTAACAGCGTGAAGTAATGCACTTAGGAGAGCCGCCAGCATGCATCTGCCGGGAGCGGGACGGACATGAAGGGTCCTGGTTTGCTTCATGGAGTATGAGACCAGGTGGGGCTTCACTCCAAGTAACTTTTAGGGAGGAAATGCAATAATTCAGGGACTTCGAATAGTCAGTTCCCATTTTATTGAGTGCTTTCGCGGCACTTTGCATGGTCTCATTGTTTCCTCTCTGCAACCCTATGAGGTGGGTGTCACCTTCATTTTACGTAAGAGGAAGCCCGAGCTCAAAACACCTGCCCAGAGTCACACAGCTAGGAAACAGGCGAGCCGTGATTCCAACCAGGTCCGTCCGCCCGGAGCGCCTTAAAGAAGTTTTGCTCGGATTTGCCTTGTTCACGGGCACGCGGCCGGACGGGGTGCCGGTGGTCGTGTGAACGGTGCTGGGCCGCGCGGGGCCGCCCCTTCCTCCGCGCCTCAGCCCGAGCTGCGGCCGGCCCCCAGACCCTGGCCCCTGACCCTACCCGGCCCTCGCACTTGCCTCCGGGCTTAGGAAACTCAAAACCACCGCTCCCAGCTCCGGCTTGAACCAACCCCCCAGCCCAATGAGCGTCCGCCCCCTGGCGCCTCCCAACAAAAGGCCTGCTGATTGGCTCCCTTTGCCTCCGCCGCGTTGCCCTAGCAACCAGGCCATAGGGACGCGGCGGCCGGGCCTCCGAGCCTCTGGCTGCAAGCCCGGGGCTCCTCGCCGGCCTTGCTCGCTTCCGGCACCATGTCGGTGCGGACGCTACCGCTGCTCTTCTTGAACTTGGGCGGGGAGATGCTTTACATCCTGGATCAGCGGCTGCGAGCCCAGAACGTCCCGGGAGACAAGGCCCGCAAAGGTGAGAGGCGCCCGGCCCCCACAGCCAGCCCCCTGCCCCGCAGCCCGGCCCCCACAGCCAGTCCTCCACAGTCAGGCCCCTTTACAGACTGATCGACACCCCTGCACCTGCCCTCAGATAGCCAGGGAGCTTTCTTACAACGCCACGGCCCCATCCAGTCAAAGTCCCTTAGGATTCAAATTCCCCAAAAGATCTTTTCACAGCAGAGGGATTTAATACCCCCATTGGATATTATTAGGGTGCCTGATCCCCCCCAATGTCCTCATCCCCTCAAATCGGAGAAATGATTTCCCAATCTCTCTTGACAACCAGTCCCTCCCAAATGTAGGAGTCCCAGCTGCCCACAACCTGGCGACATACTCTTTGCTAGTCCAAGCGTTCTCTTCCCCCCAGGGAACAGGTTCTGATTCTCCGTTCCTCTGAATAATATCCTTCTTCATAAACGGGAAGCCAGTCTTGCTCATTTCTATTTCTAGACAGGTAGGGTTCAAAAATGCCGTGGATAAATAAGAAAACATAAGAAAGTTATAAGTCCTTCCCTTCACAATTGTTGGAAGAGAATGTAGTTGTGGAAATAATTGAGTTTCTAAAATGCAAAATCTGTCTCCCATATACACCACATCTAATCCCCAGAAAAATCACCACCTAGAACTCTCTGGCACCCTTTTCCTCTCTTCTCAACCAACAACTGCTTTCACCAAGTTACAAGGGGTTAAGTATAAAGGAAATAATATATTTCAAAGTAGAGGAAGAAAAGTTGGTGTAAAGGTAAGTGACATGGCCACTGATTAAAACATTTATATTCTCTCCAACAGTCTCTGTATGCTCAACTGATGTCAAACATACATATTCAGATGTTAAGCTTACATATTCACATATTCACTATTGTGCCTGTGCGATTGCTTCCCAGTCCGTGCATAATGAGATAAAAAGAACTCCCCATAGCATACCCGCTCCATTCATTCTGTACGCTGCTGCTAGTGAGCTTTCTAAAATGCAAATCTGTCCATACTCCCTGCTGCTTAGAGCCCTTTGTCAGCTTTTCACTGCTGTCTGGATGGAGGCCAAGTCCTTGGCAGGACGTTTCAGGGCCCTTCCTGATCCGATCTCTGTTCCGTATTCCACCACTGCCTGCCTCCTACTTTATATCTTAATAATACCAAACTGCTTGTGGGTCTCAACTTAAAGCATGTTCATTCACGTTTCCATGCTGGTAATCTCCATGCTACCACAAACCTCCCATTTACATGCCAGTCATTTTCCTTCCATCCTGCATTATTCAACTTAAGAATCATCTTCAGGAAGTCTCCCTACCTGGGGAAAGGGCCTGCGTATACTCCCATGGCACCCATGCGTGCCTCTCTCTACTTTATCACTGGCTATATTATATGGATATGGTCTGTGTATGTGTCTGTCTCCCTCATCTTTGTACTCCAGCGCCTAGCATAATGCCTAGACCAGGATAAACTGGTGCTAAGTAAATGTTTGTTGAACTGATGATCTAAACAGGCTGTTTTTGGGCCGGCCCCGTGGCTTAGCAGTTAAGTGTGCGCGCTCCGCTACTGGCGGCCCGAGATCAGGTCCGGGCGCACACCGACGCACTGCTTCTCCGGCCATGCTGAGGCTGCGTCCCACATACAGCAACTAGAAGGATGTGCAACTATGACATACAACTATCTACTGGGGCTTTGGGGGAAAAATAAATAAATAAAATTATTAAACGGGCTGTTTTATATGATGTTGCCATTTCTTCCTCAAGAGGGTTCTGTTTTCCTTGGTGCCTAGGTTATGTGATTTCATTTGGGCTAATGAGCTAACAGGTGGGTCTTGGACTGGTAGTCAGCATCTTAGAAGGCAGTGTAAATTAGCAATTAAGAGCGTGCTCTCTGGAGTCATACAGATATGGGTCCCAATTCCAGCTTTGCCATTTAACTAGTTGTATGACCTTGGAATATAACCTCTATAAGCCTGTTTCTTTTTCCGTAAAGTGGAAATAATAATACACACCTTCTAGCGAAGTTGTAAGAATTGAATGAGATAATGTATTTAACATGTTTGGCACAATGAGCAGCAGGTGCCATCTTTCAAGAGGTGTCTGGGCAAGACTTGTGAATACTAGGGGAGTAGCTTCCTTTGTCTTCAGGAGCTGTAGTCCTTCTGGGTTTGCTAGATTCAGCCTTAGGGAATTTGAGCCATCCTGAGTAATTCACATCCACACACTCACTCCATCCACAGTTTGGGTGGGTGTCAGACGTCATATGAGATGCTGAGTGGAGCCTGATCTAGCCCTTCTTCGCATTCACTGGAGGGAGGGCTTTTGACCAGTCTAGTCCAGTAACTGGATCTAAAACCTGGGGACATATCTTCCTAATGACAGCAACAACAAACATTTATTAAGCACTTACTCTGCACCAAGGACTTCTCTAAACACCTAATCCCCACAACTATCCTATCGTGTAGGTAATACTACTCTCCCCATTTTATAGATGGAGAAACTAAGGCTAATGTACCCAGGGGTACATAGCTGGTAAGAGGAAGAGTAAAGGATTTGAACCCAGTTCATTGGTCTCCAGAGGTCATACTCTTAATCAATATGTCCTTACCTGCTGCACTGGACTTCCATACCTGGGGAGACTGTGTCAGAATCTTTGGGAGGGCTGGAAGGTCAGGAGGAGGGGGAGAGGTTTGAAAAAAATATCCAATATACACATTGATTTTATAAAAGGAAGGACAGAAAGTATTTGGCTGATGGGCATTTGTAGAAGGTAGAGTGAGAAGGCAGGGTAGAGGGCATGGGATTCAAAAAGTTGAGAAACATTTATCTATTCCACCGTTTAGAGCTGGTGTGACTGCAGGAGCGAGAGTCACTGTGACGAGTGCCTGTGCAGAGGCCTGTAAAACACGAGACGTGCTAAACTAGTCCTCATGGAAGCTTTGAATGGAAATCGTATTTCTTCTAGATGTTTTCATTATCTTACACAACTAATTGGTCTCCTGGAGGCCTTCCTGCTCCCGCAGGGCCAAAGCACATATTGCAGCTTTTCCCCACGAGGCAGCCTGTAGTTTAGCATTTAACAGAAAGGAAGTGTTCTCTCTGTGGGGCAACTTTTAAGTGTTGCATAGTAAATGTCCCACGTTTTAAGCAACAGCGAGAATAATAAAAGCTGCCTTTGCCTCACTCCCGTCCTCTTAAAAATATTCATAAATAAGACCCTGTTACATTTTGTTGATGTTCCTCGTTTTACAGAAGGGGAAACTGAGGCATAGAGCCTTTAAGTGATTTTTCTAAGACAGGCAGATCACAGTGGAATACTGAGCAACCAAATGGTGGTGAGGTTCTCTTTTTATTTTTCTACTTCCAATTTAACAGGCAGCTCTGGATAGCCTTGGGTCTGCCTCCCGCTCATAATATAACTAAAGTGGAATTGTCCCAAACAAGTCATCTGGAGAAATAATAGAAGAACAGGGCATCGTTTACCCTCCCCTGGATCCTCAGGAGAAAAGGGACCTGGAGCACACAGCACCGCAGAGACCTCTGCTGGAACTGAGCGTCACTGGCTGTGGGCGGGGCTGGTACCCATGGGCATGCATTCGCCAGCTCCATTCTGTCAGCAGTGGGTAGTCGCTGTCCCGTGGAGTAGGTGAGCCCCTTGCAGCACCACTGTTCCCAAATGTACCCTCAAGAAGGTGGCAACTCCATCCCTCTGAATTCCCATGAGCCTATCAGGCAAGACTGCCTGTAAAATAAATGCCATGAAAAGATAGAAGGTGTGGACATTATGCCAAAGAAGCCAGTATCTGCTTTAAGAAGGCCAGATTCTTGGTGCTGCTTCCCCAATGTTTTCTGTCCAAAAGCTTGTGACTCTTGTGGGAGAAAAATAGTGAATTTCCCCAGAGGAGTGTGACCTTACAACAGGAACCCTTTGCAGCCAGTAGAGCAGGGCACGGAGTGTGCTTTCAGGCGTCTCTTAGGAGCTGTTGGTATTGTCTATTGAAGGCACATACATGCTTTGATTATAACTTCAGAAATCACCTCTGAAACAATCTAGTGCAGAGGTTTCCAAAAGAGACCATTCATTACAAAATGTTTTTAAAATGTGGGTGTATGTAAAACACTTTATCTGGGGGTGATTTTTCTAGGTTGAAATCTCCACCAAAGAATTAAGGAAAGAAAAAAAGTCGTCTTTCATCCTTTATGGGTGTTGTCCAAAGAGTTCTGCAGTAGAAAAAGCAGAACTAGAAGAGAAGCCAGCTAAGTGCTTGATCTCAGCCCCACAGCAAGCCTATGAGGAGGGTGCAATTATGACGCCCATTTTACAGATGAAGACACTGAGGTTAAACAAGTTGCTTGAAGTGATATAGCTAGGAAGTGGTAGAGCCACGTCTCAACCATAAAGGGTCTTGCTTCCCACAGATTTCTCTAGGCAAGTACATTTTTCCTTGTTTGGTGTCCTCTTGGCATCTCCCTGACTGCCTCTGTCCTCAGGAGCTTTCTTCACAGTGATCCCATCGTTACCTCCCTCTTTTTACATGGAAGTCGTGCATCTATATATAAAACTAAATCAGAAACAGACATTTTTTTCTCTTTTAATTCACATTACAAGTTTTCTAATTTGAGAAGTTCCATCTGTACTCTAGAAAGAGAAATCTTGGGGCCGGCCCAGTGGCACAAGTGGTTAAGTGCGCGCGCTCCACTACGGCAGCCTGGGGTTCACCGGTTCAGATCCCAGGCCCGCACCGACGCACCACTTGTCGGGCCATGCTGTGGTGGCATCCCATATAAAGTGGAGGAAGATGGGCATGGATGTTAACCCAGGGCCAGTCTTCTTCAGCAAAAAGAGGAGGATTGGCAGATGTTAGCTCAGGGCTGATCTTCCTCACAAAAAAATAAATAAATGGAACGGAAATTCTAAAAAAAAAAGAAAAGAAAGGGAAATCTTACATTAATAAAACATCAGGTTTTACAAAAAGAAAATCCTTTCTCTACTTGTTCTTGGAAT